CTGCCAGAGAGTTATGGGACTGTTTTAGAGCAAACCTAATAATATTAGTTTTAGTGATATTTAAAGCCAACTTATTAGCTGTGAACCAATTTATAATAAGAGACAGTGTACCCCTGACTTTATGCTTAAGCTCATCATGATTATTACCAGTAACCAAAACACTGGTATCATCAGCAAAAAGAAAAACTTTAGCCAATTTATTAATATATGGAGGCAAATCATTAATGTAAATAATAAATAGAAGTGGTCCCAAAACCGACCCCTGCGGAACCCCTTGTTTAACTCTTTCCCAAGATGAAAAATAGTCCTGACCATCATTAGACCATCATTACTTAGCTTTTACATCATGACATAAAGATAGCTAACAAATCCTTTGAAAATTTGGCACAGTTCAAATATTTGGGAATGACAGCACCAAATAAAAATTTTATTCAGGGGGAAATATAAGAGGAGATTGAAATATTTAACCTACATCAGCTGCAAATATGGGCTTTTAAATCTCTTGGTACTGTGGGGTTGGTTTAACTGGCAGATAACAATTCATCATCTGCAAATAGGTGGATTTACATCCCCCAGTATTGGCACTGACTGGAATAATGGTGCTAGTGTCAATAAAGTGCAGTATTAAGCCAAGTTGGCTGCACATGTGCAAGATGCAATAATATAACACTAGCTAACTACATGGAGTTGAGCCCTTCTTGAGAAGCTCTCAGTCATGCAGCCACTCAAAAACTTCACAACATTTTATTAAACCTGAAAGTCCTCCACTGGTATCTATCATGAACCAGATCTATCCAGTCTATAACAACCCATTCTATCCACCAAAGATCCATTTTAATTTCATCCACCCACATATGTGCTGGTCTTCCTAGTGGTCTCTTTCCTTCTGGCTTTCCCACCAATATTCTATATGCCTTCCTTTTCACCCCCATTCACACTACATATATTACCCATCTCATCCTTCTTGACTCAATCATTCTAATTATATTTGGTGAAGAGTACAAGTTATGAAGCTCCTCATTATGCAGTTTTCTCCATCCTATTGTTACTTCATCCCTTTATGCTCTAAATATTTTCCTCATCACCCTGTTCTCAAACATCCTCAATCTACTATTCTCCCTTAATATCAGAGACCAAGTATCACACCCATACAGAACTTCATGGAAAATTATAATTTTGTATATTCTAAGCTTTCAGTGTGAAAAAACTGCCTACTATATGTTCCTTGTAATTTCATATATGTAAGGAAACATCTAGTGAAGAAATGAACATTGACATTTGTATCTGAAGGGCTAGTTCATTTGCGTATCTGGATAATTATCAATACTCTGGTCTTTAAGTCTTTGTCCATGCTTCCCATTGGACAGCGTCACACTCCATACCTGTGCTCTTACACCTGCTATGAAATGCATCAGTTCACTTCTTCATTCTGCCACAATTGCCATGAAGATGGCATCTGCAGTGTATGCCAAAACATAGGAACAGTTTTAAGACATAACTCAGCTTAACCCCAAAATGTGAAGTTTTACATTTTATGTGTTATATTATTTATAACTTTAAGGTGTCTCAGAACTGAATATTGTAATGCTGGGGCGAATTATCTGTATAGAGTTAGTCTAAGAAGGGCAGTGTTTCTCTGACATCTGTTATATCATTTGCATGGAAATCAAGTGACAAAATTATATCACTTAGTTATGATAGAACCAAAAGTTGGCACAATAAACAGCAGTGTTTCTGTTGGTAGTGTAGTGTCGATTTTTGCAGAAGTGAAGTTCTTCTAGGATGTAGTCATACTTATTCTATCTGGAACTCTTCAGGTTCATAGCATGCATATTTAGTGAAGGTGTGATTTCACAGTGTCCCTCAGGAGCTATAATATATGAGAATGAATCAAGGAAAGGGTTAACTGTGGACAGTCTAGCTAGAGATGGGAATTGTTAGATTTAATGCGAGGTTCTCACAACACAAACTGTGAAGACTAAGCCAAGCAAGTATCTAGCAAGGTTTGCTGTTCAACCCTGAAGACAGAGGCAGTGAATATCGGTGAACTTTTACCAGGCTACATGTTGTCACATCCCAGAAAATAGTGCTCTTTAGGATTTGACATATTTTTGTGTAGAATTTTCAGTGGGTGCTTCAGTAATACAATCTCCTTCTGTTCAGTGTATTTTTTTCAGTATTTCTTAGATTGCAGGTTATACCATATGTGCAGTGCTGCTGAGTTCACACTTATGGATGCTTTTTGTTGCAGAGTGTTTACAGATGTTGCAGTCAATTGAGACTTGTTTGTCTCTTGAAGTGCTGTTCAAGAAATATATTGAGCCCATGCTGCATGAGTTGCAGGCCTCTGTTGACTCTTGGTCACTCTGCAGTCCTGAGAGGTTTATATTTGAGGCCATACTGACATATTCAGGTACATGTACACGCTTGCTTCACTGCTGCTATCTGGTGATTCCATGATCTGGGTTATTCCTTAAAAATGTGGTACTTGCCATTTTTATGGACCTGAAGGCTTATTATTGTACTTATAAAAGCTTGCCCTTAGATACTGTCATGAGCTACACTCATTCCATATTTCCACATGCAATTTCTGTGAGATTCATTGTGATATGATCCTCTTGTCTATACATTTGTGGTGCTCTGTAAGTGGGCTCAAGCTGTTATGCTTTTGACTTGTGTTCAGGAGTTACCTCTTTAAATCCTGGCTTGGAGACTGACTATCCTAACTGACATTGATGTTTTTCCTTAGTCTTTTCATCAGATGCTGGAACGGTACCATAAATTAGGTCACAATTGCTTTGTAGCACATCCTCTCCAATTCATGATTTACTGTGATGCAGTCATTTTATGCAGTACAGTATGAGTTACTAGTAGCATTGTTAAAAGACTACAAAAAATCAAATAAAATATATCTGGGTCTCCAAAATGCCCCCTTTCTTTAAGTTTCTTCAGATATAATGTATGAATTTCTGATCTCCAATATGTGCTGCATATACAACATATCTCATTCTCCTCTATTTGGTTGCCCAAGTAATATTTGATGAACAGCAAAAATTGTGTTTTCATTATGCACTATTCCTCACTGTCCTTCCCCTAAGGTCCTATTATTCTACTCAGCAGTGTGTTCTCAAATGATCTTCAGTGGGTTGTTCCACAGTGTATGGTCCAGAGGGGAATGTGGAAAGTGGTATGATGTTGATTATTGGAAGTCCATAATGAAAAAAAGTCAACCAGCTGAGTATCCATCAACTGCTGAGTGGCCTCCGTAGTCTATGGATAACGTTCCCACCTCATGACTCAAGGTACATGGGTTCAAACCCAGTGGAGGTCATGGAATTTTTAAGGGTGGAAAAATTCAGGGAACAACTTTAAGCCATGGGTCCTGTATCGTAGATTTACGGCACGTAAAAGATCCTCACGTCTCTAGGAGACCTCTGAGCAAAATTAGGGAATTTTTTCCGCCCAAGTAGTTTCCAATGCCTCTGGTAGATGGGGGAAGTATCAAGGTACCGAGGGCCAACTTTGTGGGCTGAAAGGGGCTGATAGCACACACCAGTACTGGTAGGGTATGGCGACTGGTAGAATATCAAAGGGGGACGTACAATAGACTTATTAGTCGCGGTGCATGGGGAAACCCACCCCCTCCAATAATAATAATAATAATAATAATAATCCACCGCTGAAGGACAACCCCCATGCTGTGTATTTACCTTCCATTATAGTCATTGCTGTAAGAAGAATGAGTAACAAGCTGTTTTCCAGGTTCCGCAATTGGTCCGCACCTACAGACAATCAGTGAAATTCTGGTGATATGCTTGAAGCCTGAAAAGGATCCGGAAGTGAAGCTCAAGATGTTCACCATCCTGTCAAATAATATTGTTAACAATGATGAGATCCTGAAGGACGCCATTGACTCTGGACCTTTCCTCATCAAATTAGTGAATGGTACACACGCACATTTGAACACATTTCTGTATTTTGCACCAAGCATCTCAGTTCACTGGACGTTTGAGAGGTCCCAGGTTTAATATTGTCCAGGAGACCTGCTCTCCTGACTGAGGTTTTCATGATTTTTCAAAACCTCTTCAGGCAAATGCTGGGATAGTACTTAAAGTGGGCCAAAACTGCTTCCTTCTGCATCTTTTCCAATTCATTATTCACTGTTCATCTTATCATTTGACTCCGTATAGTCTGAATGATATACAGGATCATTAAATAAACTGTAAATAACTAAATACAATGTGTATACTTATGAATTTAGGTGAGGAAAAGCCCTGTTTAATTATCATTAAGAATAAGACAAATCAGTAACCTTTGGGTGGGTCTGGGAGACCACTATTGTTAGTTGAATATACAGGTTTGGAAATGCATGCTTAGTGTCTCTTGTTCATTATTATCTCAAAAGCTGTATGACTTGCATATGTCTTCATGGCAGAGTGCTTAACTAAGCACAGGGACAACTTTGCCTTTTTTAACTTATTGTATGATATGTAGCGTAGTTGGTTGAGACACTGTGCTACAAGCCGGAAGGTCACAGGTTCAAGTCCTGATGAGGTCATTGGATTTTTTTCAATTGAACTAACCCTTCCAGCCACACTATGGCCCTGGGGTCGACTCAGCCTCTAACAGAAATGAGTACTAGGAATTAATTAAATAATTTTCCTGGGGAGTAAAGTGCGGCTGGCACATAAGGCTGACAACCTTACCGCCATCTTTAAACCAATTGTCTAGATAATGTGGAACCCTCAACATCTCACAACCCTATGCACCTTAACGGCCTGTTACAGGGATAGCTTTACTTTATGACATGTAGAAAAAGTATATTGGTTATAAAATGTGTTTCGCTTTTTTGTACAACATTTATTCAAACATCATTCATTGTGATAAACATTCAGTGAGTTGTGCTCCAGATACATGCAGAAATGCCTCATGTGAAGTATGCCTTACTTCTGACAAATTTTAACTAAAACTGGAGTGTGCCAGTAAATTTTAAAGGAACTCCCCAGTATATAACTTCATGAAAATTTCTATACTAGTTTCCAAAAAAAAAAAAAAGGAGATAAAGTCCTTGTGCTAAACTAATTAAGCACTGCGCTATGAAGACATATGGGACAGTGGAAGTATAGCTCTACAATTCTTGACCTCAGCATTGGTTGGATGTGAGTTGTTAGCTTCATGCCCTAGCTGCTCTATCCCCAGGGAAAGAGACCCCAATACCCATTGGACAGGAGGTTGAGTGGGCCCCAGAACTGAACTGGTTGATGTGGAGAGGAGAAAAATCTTGGTTCTGCTGGGACTTGAACTCCAACCCCTTGACCATCCAGCCCCTAGCCAGCTGATACACCAACTGCACTATCCCAACTCTAATACTAGTTCTCAAGTTGTTTCATATGTGCAGATACAAAGACAAAGGACATATATTATATGCTCCACAGCTGCCAACTTACTTAAGAAAGGAACAGAACATCAAATGTCAGAAATATCACAGTACTGGCATGGAAAACTGTAGTAATAAATTAATAAAAGAGCTGAACTCTGCCTTTCAGAATTAATCAGAAGGTTAATTAAATGTATGAGGATCATCCAGAAAACAAATACTGCTAACATGCATTTACTGCTTGCTGACTTTGCCTGGAACATTTTTTTTTTCATCCCTCTACAGTGTGGACCTGGTTCCAAATGACTTTCACTTGTTCACACACTTGAGGCAGCTTTTGGGTGTCATGCATGTGGGTAGCAATGAAGAAGTGAGAAAGACAGTTGAAGACTGGTTCAGTGAACTGGCAGCAGATTTGTATGATGCAGGCATACAGAAACTTGTCACATGATACAACAAATGCCTCAACCGTCATGGGCATTATGTAGAAAATTGGGTTAAAGTCTGTAGTAATGGTGTAAAATTACATTTTTATAATTATCAAATGGTCTTTACTTTCTGTATGACCTACGTACAATATAGCACAGTGCATGACTATCACACCAGTTGTGGTCACTTCTTTATTCTTCTGTTTTCTGCCCATCAGATGTAATCATGCCAAACTTGGTGTGGCGAGCTGGTCGGACAGCAGAAGCCATAAGAACTTCTGGTATCTCATGTCTCTATGCAGCCTTCCAGTCTTCTCCAGATTCCACATCACCATTCTGTGTCCCTGGAATTCTAGCAGCTGTGATGAAGCAACTAGTACCTCTGCTGCTGACACTTGTAGAGGATTCCTCCAAGAAAACACGCCTCATTACCTGCCGAACTCTGTGTAGGCTGATCAGATTGTTGCGAATCACTGGTCTTCATACTGCAGAGTTTGTGCACCAAGTTTATCCTGGTAAGATGTCATTCTTCTGTAACAGAGAAGAGCTTGAGGTTTGAGGTGCCATCTTCTGTTTTGTGACACTCTAGTGGATTAGAGGATTATGCTGCTGATTATGCTGATTATGCTGAAGGAGGTGAGGTGGGGATTGTGTTGTATTGTGTCATATAGAATCAGCATCATGCACGATGTGTTTCTTTGTGAAGATAGTTTATTTTTAAAGTGATCACAGACCTAACCCCTTGTTGATGAATTCCAGGTGATACTGAACTGCATTAGAAAATCACCTGCTATGTATTAGGCCTCAAGGTTCATTACAATGTTCACAAAAGACTTTGTATTTATGCCATTGTTTCTCAACTGGTTTATTTCACTGGGGCTTTCAGACTAAAATTTAATGTACTTACTCATCATGTATTATAAATGTTCTAAACATCTAATCCTCCTTCATTTTGTCACCCTAATAATATCTAGGTAAGAGTATAAATTATGAAGCTCCTCAGTATGTAAGTTTCTCAAAATTCTTCTTATAATCTCTGTTTCCCCCTCTGTCTCTCTCTCCCATAAGGTGGAAGACTAAGTTTCACATCCATATGAAAGAGGAGGGAAAATTATAATTTTTGTGTTTTAATTTTTACATTTTTACACAGACTGGAAGACATTGAGCAGCTGTAAGACACTGAGCAGGGTCTGTCTGTAATGATGTAGACTTGTATTCAGGAGGGACTTGGTTGAAATCTTATCCTGGATAACAACTATCTGGACTGAGGTCTATTTTTATGGTTTTCTCAACCCCCCAATCAAAATCTATACAGTACCTCAATTAGGCCTTGACTACTTCCTTCCAGAATCTTTCCACTTCATTAGTCATTGTTATCATTTGACACTATACAGTCTAGATACTGAACACATGATAGAATAAAATCTACAGGAAGACAAAAGATTGTGAATTGTCATGAATGTACAGTAGAACTTCCATTTAATGTTCCTTGATTTATGGTCTTCTTTCATATGACATTCAGTTTCAGTGATCAAAGGTCAGTAATCTTAAATTTTTTGTCTAAGATTTTCTCAATTTAGTGTTCAAATTCACTTCTCATCATGAAACCTTAAATAGTGATGTTACTGTAGATAATATTGATTTTTTACAGTTGTTACCAAGCACATGGACTTTGCTTCATGTTCACAGTATTCATTGCCTGTCTTTAGATTACAGTTTTTAACTTCATTGTTGCAGTGGTCCTCAAACGTTTGGATGATGTAAGTGATGATGTTCGTCAGGCTTCCGTCACAACTCTTGTGAAGTTGTTCAAGCCATTACCAGCTGACTACTGCGTGGAAGTGTCATTCACACATATGGATGCACTGTTGAGTGGCATGCTGATACACTTGGATGACCCTGAGCCTGGCTTCCAGCACATTATGCTTAGTATGCAGCTTCTGGATACATACAGTCATGGCCACTGTATTCTACTAGCAGTTGAGGGCCTCTCATCACACACCATAAACTTTCCCACACTCTGATGAATAAATCTGTAAATTTTTTAGTTTTGCAGTAGGGCTTTTTGGATGTAATTCAAATCCTTCTACCCAAACTTCTTTTTAACTACATGAGTAAATGTAACTTCTTAATTTGAATGTTATTCCCTTGTTAAAGCTTTTGTCAGTGTATATTATGATATTGACAGGGAAGGCAACCTTGTGATGAGTGAAGAGAGGGTACTCCTGCTTGAATGTGAATAATGCTAACTATATAGTGTAAACCTGCTCTAGGTACAGAACATAAGCTGATTGACCTGTGTTGCTTTGTATCCAACACTGCACTGTTTTCATTTCCAGATGCCTTGAAGCAAATAGGTGAAGTGAATCCCAAAATTCTGCAGGAGAAAATTAACACCTGTACACATAAATTCCGTAATGTGGAAGGTCGCATGGAATTAGTAAGGTACACTGAGAGGCTCCTGGGTGACACATCCAGCCCAGTGAATGCATCAAGTGATACAGTGACAGTTAAGTAAAGGAAAGTGTAATTGTTGAAACCACTCATGTCAGGTTTCTTTGTTACCGAAACATTGTATCTTGTTGCTGTGCTTCTGTGACTCTTCTGCAACAACTTTTAAGGAATGGATTTTGAAAATGTTGCTGTAAGGTAAACTTAGTAGACTTGTTTTTCATTATTTATTATTGCAGTTCATATAGTGGTTATGAATATTATGAAGTATAAGGTTCTCTTCTTATGAATATTATGCAAAGTGACAAAAGATTTTTACAGGGAGGAGAAAATAATTTTAAAATTAGGAAACATATACCTTATGTAGAAATATGACTAACTTCATTGAAGGAATTCAGTGTCTCAGTTTATAATACTTTGATAATAGAAAGGAGAGGATACAATGTATTAGGTAAATATATGGAGCTGTTTCAGTTGTTTTTAACCTACTTTCCATATTTTGAAAAAATACAAGAGATCATTGTGCTCTATGTGTGTCTGTGTATCCCCTGCTATTAACTTTTGAAAGTCTAAATCAATCCATATGAAACGTGGTATGTATATCATGGCACCTGAGCCCATCTTAGTGGCACACTTCATAAATTCCTCCCATCAGTCTGTGTGTGTGTGTCCCTATCATTGCTAGGCAAGGGCTTGGTAAAAATTAGCATCCATTGCTTATCTTCCGTCAAAGTTGCAATGCTTAACGGAAGATAAACAATGGACTCTAATTTGAACAATTGCAACAGGATGCTAAAATACAGAAACTTGGTAAAAATGTTACTGCAGCAATGAATACACACGCAACAATAGAAGAATTGTTGGACATGTCTTTTCTGTGTAGTCTGTGTTGTATGAAAGGAAAGTAGGCAATTATTTCTTACCAGAATTTCTTGTTAATGTTTGTATTACTGAAAATGTTATGTTTCAAACTTCAGTAAATTTTAATAATATTGTATTGAGTAATAAAATAAACTGAATGTTTCTTCCCTAAAGAGTAGAATTAGTCAGGAAAAATACATTTAAATATCATGACTGTAAAGGAGAAAAGCAATTGGGAGCCCATTGTTAGGGCCTGTACTTCTTGAGTGGCTTTATAAAGCAGTATTAGTCTACCTAGAAGATCAGTAGTGTTGCACTGAGCTTGCATTTTGGAGGTATGTAGTTTCATTCTTTGCGACAGTACCATTTGTCTCTGTTTTCTCGCATTGTTGAGGATGACTACATTGAAAACAGTTGTTTGCTCACTCCATAGTGTTTTGTATGTGAAGTGCTTGATCACACCCTCCTTTATCTTCTTTCAGATTTGGCTTGGGAATTGTATCAATCCAAAAAATAAAATATATATGTACATATGCATTTTTGTGTGTGCATGACTTACTTATTTACTTACTCCTGCAGCTGAGCCCTTCTGGAGGAGCCGCCAATTCTGCAGCTACTCAAGAATTTCCCAGCATTTTATGGAACCCGAAGGTTCATTACCATGTTCACAAGAGCTCTCCACTGGTCCCTATCCTGAGCCAGATCTACCCAATCCACACCATCCCATCCTATCTCCCTAAGATCCGTTCTAATATTGTCCGCCCACCTACGCCTTCGTGCATGCGCACGACATATGTATATAAATGTAATATCTCTGCTTCCTGGTATTGATCATCTGTATGTTTTATCAAACAATTTTTAATACAGCATATGTTGGTTACATGTTTTAGCATGTGATCCTTTCTTAACATGAGTGTACATACATTTATTTATTGCCAACTGCATCACAGAAAACTTCACCACCGGCACATCTCAACTATGTTTGCATCCAGCATCATCAGTGTTCAAATTGAATACAGACACCATCAACACAAGATATATAAAGTTGTATAACAAGTACTACTGTGTAAATATAAACATAATTTAATTAACTTAGCTGATGTTATTCGGTTTTATTTTCAGGCATTTTTATCTCTTATAGCTATGAAGAAGAATGTGTGTCTGTTTCTTTGTTTGTTTGTTATTTATATACTTCCTCATTATTACATATTTGTTATCAAATTTTGCATGGTAGGGGATCTTCCTGAGGAGGTTTGAGGCACTTGAAACCTCCCAACATATTTTGGAGACTTCCTAAAGAATAGTTCCCTGCTTACTGCTTGAGAACCATTTGTCCTAGCATTTGATGTTTTCAGAATTTGAGAGAGCTTGGATAAAAAATCACTTGTTTATCTATCTGTTATACTTTCATAGCATTATATTTTCCAACAAGAAATATCAGTTTTTAAAAACTAACAAGAAAGTGAGGATTTACATTGTAATGCATTAGTTAAACTCTTTACAGTTCTCTTACTTTATATTAATATCATTAAATTCAACATTATAACTTTTCAGTATATTACACTTTCTTCTTATACTACATATGCCTTATACCCAGGTGACACTGGGTAGGTAAGTTTGTTGATGGACCCTGCATAATATAAAAATACTAAGTTAATGTATTTTCTTCATATGCTCATGTAAGAAGGGTCTGTTGGTTCCATTTTATGCATTTACTGTTGTTTGATGAAACTGAAATGTATATAAAGAATCACTGTCATCAAAATGCATTAGTGTGTTGCAGTTCACATTCTGTGTTCCCTTGTTCTCACAGCTTGTGTGATGGAGAACACCAATGATATTATATTCATTCTATTGTCAGCATGTACTGAACCATGGCTGTTGTAATGATGTGCAAGTTTTGCAGCGCAAGAAGGAGGATAGATTATCTTTGAGCAGATTGCGAAAACCTCTTATTTATTCCCTGAAAGAAAGAAAGAAAGAAGGTCCCTCCAAGAAAAACGGTTACTTCCTCCAGAGATAACACCTCTCTCTTGAAGGGGGTGTTTTCATTTACAACTTCCTGTCATCAGGGACCCTGAAAAGATCATAATTCTTCCCAGTTCCATTTTCCACCTGTGATGTGGCTCTGGAAATTGATCTGAGGGACCAGCGTCCTTGCAACTGGCGTGTACATTGTATAACCCAAACAGTTGCTCACCATACACACTTCTAGCCTGAAGATGGAAGGAGCCGTGTTTCTCCAAAATAGTATATATCTACATGACTGTATGGTGTCACAACCTAGACAACCACAATCCAAACAGTCACTGCCATGAAAATCTCAAAACATATATCGTTACAGACTTTGGATGCATTTGAATTCCCATTGCCAGTCACTTTTGTTTTTAATTACATGAGTAAACTTTAATTTGAGTATTATTCTCCCTTCAGAATTGTAAGTACTATATGCTGACTATATACTGACAAGGGAAGCAACCATAACCCAACAAAGATTGGGCCCATCAACTTCTTGTCCATGCTTACGATGTTAATTTGTTGGACAAAAATGTAAGTACCATGAAGAAAGCCACAGCTCTGTCAGAGGCTGCCTAGGAGGTTGAACTAGAAGTAAACTCATAAAACTAAGTATATATTGCTGTCTCATTGTCAGAATGCAGCATAAAGGCAGCTAATGAATCCTTTGAAAATATGGCACAGTTCTTGTATTTAGGAACAACAATAAGAAATCAAAATTGCATTCATGAAGAAATCAAGAGCAAATTACATTTTGGGAATGCTTGCTGCTATTCAGTTAATAATATTTTGTGTTCCTATCTGCTATATAAAAATGTATAGTTTGTAATACAGAAAACTACAATATTGACATTTGTTTTTATGAATGTGGGTCTTTATCTCTGACACTAGTGAAAGAACATGGAGTGTTTGAGAGTAGGGTTCCAAGGATGATAATTGGACATAAGAGGGAGGAAGTAATTGGATGATGGGGGGAAACTGCATTTTGAGGAGCTTCATAACGTGTGCTCCTTGCCATATATTTCAGTTATCAAATTGAGGAGAATAAGATGAGTGGGGCAGGCAGCATGCATGGGAGAGAAGAAACTTACAGAATTTTGAAAGGAAAACCTGACAGATGGAGATTTGTTTGGAAAACCTAGACGTGGTTTGAGGATAAAATTAATACATATCTTAAAGAAATAGAATGGAGAAGTGTGGACTGAATTAATTCTTCTCAGATCAGGATCAGTTGGCATGTTCTATTGGACACAATAATAAATATTTGGGGTCTACTGGGACTATCTGGGCTAGTTGAGCGACTATGAGATTCTCAGGTAGGACCGGTAGGACTGTCCTCGATGGAGTTACGTTCAGTTTTCTCAGAGGATGTGTGTTGCCGTTTGTGAAGAAACTGTTGGTTCCACGCTAGTCACTGAAGTCTTCATTTGAAATTTGGCGCTCGTACAAGTCCGACGTGTAACCTTCGGTTTTGGAATAGTTCGCCAGTGTTCAATGCTAAATTTAAAATAGTATATAATATACATATTAAGCTAAGCATTTATATATATATTGTACCTATAATATGAAATATATTATGACATTATTGCAGTAATGTTTTCATATTATATGAAAAACATTTTAACATTCACTTTATCCAGAAAGATGAAAGTAGTATTTCCGGTAAAACAGTAGAGGTAGGTGGAGTCGTTGATCTGGTAGTTGTTTTTTTTTCGGTTGTAATTTATATCGGCATTGTCTTGTCTATTTTAGTAGGTAAGTGAAGTATGTGTATTCGTAGTCGATATTTAAATCGGAAATTTATAGTTTTGTGGTCTTAAGTAGTGCTTTTTTATTAGCTGTTAATCGCCTTCGGTCTAGGAAGGGCCTCATCAAGCCTTGGCCATCAGTGGGCACAGACCACTGGAGCGCGATGAATGACATATTAGAAGGACCACTGAACATACAGTGGCCGATGTAGGAGAATGTAATTGTTTAATCTGTTGTTCATGTTGAGTGAAATCGTACCAATATTGCAGGCAGTAATGGCAGATACAGCTGCAGAAGGCATTGAAGATCTACATATTAATACACCAGAAGATGAGAATGATTCGAATTACAAACCACCACCAGAGAAAACAATCGAAGAAATTCTAGAAACAGATAAAGAAGATGAAAGTTTGCGAAAGTACAAAGAAAAACTACTTGGTGATGCCAAAACAGGAATAGTTGTTGTTGGTAAGTAAAATTGATAAGAGTGAATGGTAGTGTTTTACGGTGAAATACGAGATGAAGTATTACGTCCATGACCATATTCTGATATAAGCCCAATTTTTTTTCATTTTATATGCAGAACCAAATGACCCCCGGAAAGTAATAGTGAAGAAACTGGCATTGTGTGTTCCGGAGAGACCGGACCTTGAGCTTGACCTGACAGGTGATATTTCTCAGCTGAAGAAACAGGTAAAGACAATAATTGTGAAGTCTGGCCTGTTTTGCATAAATATACAGAATTTCATGGCCGAATTTTTTATTACACACTTGTAGGTAAATGGGCAACTTATATGGATTTCATGAATGCTTGACATTTAAGATATTAACGAAGTCGGTACAAAGCTAGGCACTGTTGAAGAGGCACAAGGCTTGTGATATACTTAATTTTATATAAGTGAAATATTTCTAATAACTTCCACATTAGGTATTATGTTATGCATGCAATTAAGAAGCAGGTATTAGTTATGTAATGCTTACAAATTCATGAACAGAGCACAAGATGTGTGACAGAAAGGATCCTTCTGATGCTAATTGAAATTGTTCTTTGTCAGTAGATGGACATTTTATTTCTACTAAGATATTATTATACAATATCACACATAATGTGCCAATTTTTGGTGCACTGAGGTTACCAGTTGGTCTGTGCCTGGTGTTCACTTTATGATTCAGAAACCTCTGTAGTTATCAACTATAAATGTTATTAAATATACAGAGTGATTAAGAAATGTTGTGTGAGATATATACTATGCCACACATTCACAATATCAAGATGAAAAAAGTTGCTATGAGTGTAGGTCTACAGTTTATATCTGAATGAGTTATGTGTAGATGTATTTAGTGGTAACTTCACAGAAGTAATGATAGTAATTAGAGCAGTTAAGCAGGTGGTCAAAGAGAACACATTCTTCAGAGATGTATGGTGCTGCTTGTTGGTTTGGTGACTTCTGAACTGTTTCAAACGCTACAGGCATTGCTTGAATACCTACAGAACAGTCTTCTGTTGTTGTTCCTTGGTGTATACTTCTTGACCTTGGTAAGCTCTATTTTTTACATGTCCTCATAGAAAGAAATCATGTAGGTCACGTGATGTAGGTGACCATGCTTGTTGTTAACCATGTCCTGTCAGCCATTAATGAAAGAGTATTCAGAGGGGCACAGCTGTCAGCAGAGAACTGTGCAGGAGCTTCATCATGAAACCACATTTCATGTATCAGACTTGTAGGTCAGGATTCTCCAGTTGCAGAAAATGCATAATGGGTTGCACCTGTAAGCCTGCATTGCATGTGAAAGGTGCCAGTAAATCATTCCGGCCCACCCATTTATGGAAAACGAGCTGGTGATTTGCTGCTTAGCATGCATAAGGATTATTCTCTGTCCATGAGTCACTCTTATGGTACTTCTTTTGGCTTATTTTTGACTTCACCCATCGTCCGGTATATAAAAGACAAAAAACCACGACATTTCGGAGACTGGATCTGTCTCCGTCTTCAGGTGGACCAGTGATTGAGACTAGCTCTTTCTAAGGGGCCCAACTGAGTAGGTTAAACCTTCCCTATCCACCTGAAGACGGAGACAGATCCAGTCTCCGAAACGTCGTGGTTTTTTGTCTTTTATATACCGGACGATGGGTGAAGTCCAAAATAAGCCAAAAGAAGTACAGTATACACCATCGTCAGAATCCTTTTGAGTCTAACTCTTATGGTAGTTAAACGTTTTGCCTCATTGGTTTGCTGTTGAAGAAGCTAGTGATAATATGCCAGCTTAATTGGATTATCATGCTGTTCTAAATGTAAGTACATGCTGGAGGTGACAGGTGAAAATTGTTACAGTGAAGCTCTCTCCATAAGATATAGATGATGAAATGTTCATCTGTTAAACCACATTGTACACACTTTCTTTCAGACAGTGATCTGCAACATTTAAAATCTGTTCCTCTGAACCTACGCTTCCATTCTGAGGACGTCTGTAATTAGCAGTCTTCTGCTCTTTCTTCTGTCACTTCAGAGAAGCATTTTATAATTTTGTTGTTTGCTTCTACATAATGTTTCGCAGTTGCATGAGCATTTCTTCATACTTCACCATAGGTCAGCTGCCTGTGGTACTGTGTCTAGATGGCAGTGTACCATCTCAAAACACTAATCAGAGCCTTGTACGAACCCTGCCAAGCCAATTTCCTTCAGATTTTGAGTTTTTTTAACTTAATGAGATTATGGTCTATTGAAATATGCCCACCTGTTATCCTACACAAGTTTTGCTCTACCTAAGCTTACCCTTGCCTATGGTAGATGGTGTTATAAGATTGATTGGCTCTATTATCAGAGGAAGAATGTCGTGTGCTTGTCACCATGTATTCTGCAGGTTAGCCTAAGTTTCATGTACCCATGATTCAGTTGTGTTGTTATTTCTGTTTGCCATAGCGTTGCAGTGTTTAGTCTTTTTAAATTGATTGTTTAAGGAATAGAGACTATGCTGGCCCAATGGACCCATGATTCAGTTGTGTTGTTATTTCTGTTTGCCATAGCGTTGCAGTGTTTAGTCTTTTTAAATTGATTTTTTAAGGAATAGAGACTATGCTGGCCCAGAAATATTTATTGTTACAGCCTTGAAGCAGTGTTAGTTTTGTTTGGATTACTGCTTTGGATCTGGTAATGCTATGTACATATTTGTGTCCCACATAGTTGTACTTTGTGTTAGCCATGGTATAGCCCCCCCCCCCCCCCCCACCCTTGAGCACACAGTAGCATAGTTAGTTGAGGCACTATGGTGCAAGCCAGAAGGTCATGGGTTCAATTCCAGATGAGGTCATTGAATTTTACAGTTGACCTAAGCCTTCCAGTCCCTGGGGTCGACTCAGCCCCTAACAGAAATGAATACTAGATATCTTCCTGGGTGTAAAGGGTGACCAGCGCATAAGGTTTGGTAGCCTCACCACCATCTGTGAGCCGATTGTCTAGAAAATTAGGACCCTCGACGTCCCATAATGGTATTGCTCTCCACAGCCTGTTACATGGATAGCTTTACCCTTTACCTTTACCACTGTACAGCCCTTCTGTTTCAAGCATACCAACAATAATGTGAAGTTGGAGGTTTTTTACAATGTTGGCTATGAAATGACAGCCAAACTCAAATGATATGTCATCCATGGACACTACTCTTCACACCAAGAATAGTTTCAATTTAGACTAACCTTCAGAATATGATAAAATGCAGAGTAATGCAGAGTGTGGGGTGTGATTATAGGTCCCAGAATTTGAAGATACTTTGTTTGGATGAGGTTAGGTTGCTGCTTTGGTTAGCGTTCTAGTACAGTACACTGCCCTCTACAATTAGGTACTTGGCAACCCCACTAGTGTATTGCAGTCGTTGCTCCTGGCATTACAGGTGTGCTGTAATTTTTTTTATGTTGTGTTTTGAATAGCACTATCTTCTGGGATATAACACTGTTTAATCTGTTGAAAGTATCTTGGTCAGCTTATTCTGGGACCCTGAAGATGGAGGCAATATATTCCTCCAAAATGTCGGTCGAGTTTCAACAGACCACATGGCATTGTATGAGAACTCTTCATGATCACTGCTGTGAGAACTTCATATCCTACATCTTTCGTCCTGTTCTCCGCTATAGAAACACCAGAGTAATGCAAGTCACAGGCATTGTTCATTATGTACCACTTTACTGAATCTCAAGATCCAGTGTTGCCCATGGAAATATTCTGGAGAAAGAGTTTTGCATGCAATGGGTAGCATATCTTACGTGTGGGTAGTGACATGGTTAATTTTGCATATTTCCTGCTGCCTGATGCAACATTTCTCAGCTTTTTCTTTGTTGAATTACTGAAATTCAGTTCATTATCTTGCCAAGTCATGTATCATTCTATTGTTATATGCAGGTCTTTCAGCTGCTCAGTTCTCTGCACTCTGTGTGATTCAAGGTGTGTTCATTGCGTTCATAAGAGTTTGCCACTGGTCCGTATCTTGAACCAGAGTAACCCAGTCCATACCCACACGACCTGTGTTCTGTTTGTGCAGGTATTTGTCATCAAGGAAGGTGTGTCATACCGCATCAGAATCGACTTCATTGTGCAAAGGGAAATCGTACACGGGCTGAAATATGTTCAAAAAACATACAGGATGGGCATGCCAGGTAAGAAGATTCCATCAGCTTTTTCCCGTAAAACTGGCAGCTGTATTCAGCAGATGTCTGATTTTGTTGTTTGGTGCCAATGAAAGGGTCTGGCTGTTAGGATTTCAATTTGAAATAGAATGGAACTCTTACACTAAATTTTTCAGAGATGGATTTGATTTAGTTTCACTGTATTGGAACCCATCTCAGTGTAGTGGAGTGCCTTGCACTTATGGCTGAGCTCAGAGACTAAGTATTTTGATCTGATTGTGGTTTTCTTCAGTCCCTGCAGGCAAATCATAAAATATTATATTCAGCATGTTATAGTTGCATTATTCCATATCCTTTCAAGTTCACCATTCATACTCACAGTGATATTCAATGGTATATAACCTATGTTGTTGAAAAAACATTGTTAAGAATATAACGATAAAGCAGTAGTGTTGGCCCATACAGTGAAACAGGATGTTATTTCTGAAGCTTTACATTCTGGGACCATCAAAATATTGAAGAATAGTAAATTGTTCTCACATGTTTGTATTAGTCATCTTTTTCCTCTTGTAGCACTTTTTTCTGTGTCCCCCATCTCTTCTTTTTTCTTCCCACAGCATTTCCTTTTAAATTTATTGCGACATTTTTTCCTCTCTTCATGTTTTGAGTATTGGCTAATCCATCTTATTTTGGGTCTTTCCATGAGTGTCATTTAAATTTTAATTCTCAGGCCGTTCTTGGTATCCTTGGTCAATTCATTCTTTTTATATGGCCAATCCATTGTAATTGTTTCTCTTCTGACTCTATTAACAAAGTTTTACTTCTCTAGAAGTGGCAGCCCCAGTTCTAGCCATGCTTGATTTTCCCTCAGTATTTCTCAGAAATTTAATATCAGTTACTTGGATTTTGCCTTTTGTTTCTCTCTGTAAGGGTCCATGATTTGGCATTGTACCTTAGTATCAGTATAAAATATGCTTTATAGGTTCTTGTTCCTTATATTGATGTGGGATCTCTCTGTTCCATAATATTTTGCAACTGTTCTTTGGTTCTACCAGCTCCGGTAGAGAAATTTGACTCCTCTCAGGCCGTGTTGACTGGCCACGACTTGGGTGATTAGTGGGGCATTAGGCTCAAGAAAGTCACACTCAACACAAATTAACTGTTTTAAGTTTTTATTCGGTCAGCACTATATAAATGGTAACTGCACCATAATGACACACTTCACAGATTAGTGGACGTAGCTTCCTTACTGTTTACTAAGACACACACATTAATAGTCAGCACAGGGTGTATTTATGGGGATCAGAACACGCGTCCCTCCGGTGAATGTAAATTTCAGAGGCCCTTCGTCAAGCAAGCTCTGAAGTGTAAATATTTGTCCTGGTTACCCAAAATTCGGGCAAAGGACCTTCCACTTCAGATTATGATTGGCTGGACCAGGCAGGCTGGGAGGTTGCTTATCTTTCTCCTCCAATTAAAAAAGCGAATATCCACTGTATAGAGTTTAGGGGTGAACTTTGCCACCTGCTGCGTGGCTGTCAGACTCGGATTTTGGGGTAGCAGAAAACGACGCTGCTAAAATTATGACTTTCCCTGTCAAGTTTAGAATTTCTAAAGAACTTGGCCTTGTGTTACGCATTAAATTGACTGATTTACAGATGGCCAGCTGGCTCCAAGCTTGACCCAAGCCACTTGCTGCGTGTCTCAGGGGGAAATTCTCAAATTGTGCGGCGAAAGTGAGGAATTTCACAGAACCCTAACCATACACAAAACATCAATTGGCCATACCATAAGCTGGACACTTACAATTTCTTTTATGATTTGATAAAATTTAGAACTGTTTTTGTGTCCTATGTTGATCTCTCTGCCAGTTTTCCCTTGTGAATTCATTTTACTTCCCAAATACATTTTTCTGTGTCTGTAACCATTGTGCATACAATTGCAACATGAAAACTGAACAGCACAGAACTTCTTTATTGAAAAAGTTTTTATGTTTTACTGCATTTGTAGTTTGTAGTTACGGTTGAAACTGTAGTTGTATCATGAAGTGGTAGATTTGATTTGTTTCATCCAGGTCCGTCACACTAACGATATTATAAAAGGTTAATCGTTAGTCGCACTGGACAGAATTAATTAACCTTTTATAATGAAGTGATAGATTTCATAATGTGGTCACTAGAAGTGTTTTTCATACTCGTTTTTAAAGTGAATGTCAGCTTCTTGCTTTATGACTTTAAGCCAGATTAAGGCTTTATTGTGGCTTGTTTTGTTTTATGCAATCATGGGCATTCAGGCACAGTCGGTGAGTATGAACCTACCATTTTGACAGTGGCATCTTTAGATAAAGGTGATGCGTTATGGTGCAGAGACATGATTGTGCTGTACTTCTTAGTTCACCCATCAACCTACTGCAGGCTGTGTGTCAATTTTTTTTTTTTTGCATCATACCAAAGGCAGGTTAGCTCAGTCAATATAGCAGGAAAACAGTGGGCTGGACAGCCAGAGAGTCAGGGTTTGATTCCCAGCAGAGGAAAGAGATTTTTCTCTTCTCCATCGCATCCACATTGATCCTGCAGCACAGCCGTGTGTGCATTCGGTACTGGGGGCTGTTTCTTGGGGAGTAAATGACAGGAACGTAAATCTGATGCTCACCTTGACCTGGTGTAAAGGTTAAAATTTGTGGAGCTACACCTACCTAGTGGAAACCACTACTGTAGTGTGTATAAAAATATGACAGGTCTATTCCTGCTGTGATCCTAATAGAGAGCTTTCGAAGGGATTATGAAATTTACTCTGTACCCTTGTGAATATGTGTGGTAGCCACGGCATTAAAACAATATGCAAGTATTGTGGTAGTTTTGGGGTGTAATTTGAATCCTTATTCCCAAGTGTCGAAGGGATTATGAAATTTACTCTGTACCCTTGTGAATATGTGTGGTAGCCACGGCATTAAAACAATATGCAAGTATTGTGGTAGTTTTGGGGTGTAATTTGAATCCTTATTCCCAAGTGTGTGTGTGTGTGTGTGTGTGTGTGTGTGTGTGTGCGTGTGCGTGTGCGTGTGCGCGCCCGCGCATAATCTTGTGTAAATGTGTTTTTCCTCACATCACCTTTCCTGCCAGTGTATGACTGTGGCACGCCTGGCCTTGCCTTGTTTCCTATATCTTATCATACATTTGGTAGTGACGTCACTTTCCAGTGTTTAGTCATACTCAGTTTGTGATAAGCCCAGCCCAAATGCAGTTAAGTCTGTACTGTTACCTTATTTATGAATTAACTTGAAGTATATGTATAATCCTGTTACATTCCACACTTCTATATGTATAATATAAACTCCGTCGTAAATGCAACACTTTATTGTAGTTCTTGTCCCCCTTCTTTCACACTACATGTTTCGGCTGCAACCGGCCATCATCAGGTATATTTCACTTCACGTAGCTGTCACATTGCACTCAATATTAACATTTAAACTCCAGATTTCCAGTTGTTCATTGCTCTGTCGTCAGTCGGCACCCGATATTCCAGAACTCCCCTTGTCGGTTTTGTCAATTAAGTTTAAAATCTTTATTAATATTGACTCATCAATTGGTTTAAAATTTTAAATTCTCAATTTAGCTTTAATATTTAAAGTCTTAATTTTAAATTTAAAATAAAAAATCACAGAGATACCTGTTCTATGCTTGTATGTGCTGCTTTCAGCACAGCTCGCGTGTTATTTTGTGCGGGCTGAAAGCAAGAGGTAGCCACTGCAGCACATATAAGCATAGAGCAGGTATCTCTGTGATGTTGATTTTAAATTTAAAATTAAAACATTAAATATTAAAGCTAAATTTAGGATTTAAAATTTTAAACCAATTGATGAGTCAATATTAATAAAGATTTTAAACATAATTGACAAAACTGACAAGGGGAGTTCTGGAATATCGGGTGCCGATTGATGACAGGCAATGAACAACTGGAAATCTAGAGTTTAAATGTTAATATTGAGTGCAATGTGACAGCTACGTGAAGTGAAATACACCTGATGATGACCGGTTGCGGCTGTAACATGTAGTGTGAAAGAAAGGGGACAAGAACTACAGTAAAGTGTTGCATTTACGATGAAGTTTATATTATACATATAGAAGTGTTGAATGTAACAGGTTGCTTAAATATAATATAGTAACTTGAAGTACTTTTAAAATGTATGTCCTAACTAAAGGAATACGTAAAAGGCCTCCCACTGTGTTCATTGTCATACTTAACGTCATAGTAAGGCCATGCCATAGCTCAAGTGGTTAGTTGCTGGCTTCCCATCGTGGCAGCCCAGGTTCGATCCCAGGTCTGGTCAAGTTGGATTTGTGGCGGACAAAGTGGCGCTGGGGCAGGTTTTCTCCGAGTACTTCGGTTTCCCCTGACAGTCTTCATTCCACCATTTGCTCCACAATCACCCTCGCCTATCATCTGGGGCTGGTACAGTAGGCCAGAAATGGCCACAGTACAAGGGACTTAATCCCACCCCACTAGCACTAAAGAAATAAAAATATTAATGTCATAGTAGCCATTGTAATTGTGTTGTGAACAGTTGCTGTTGCACTGAAGTGCACAGACATGCAGGACTCCCATGCTTTGTCTTTAAATCTATATGAAGTACTATTTATTTTCTATGTGCTGGCCTTAATCCTCCTTTTGAGCTCCTTTATTGTCCATTAATCCTTTCATGGTAGCTTTGTAAGTACAGTGCATGGTCATGTGTCATTCTGATCTCTTTATATGTGTAGTGACAGTGGTCACTAGGTGTGCTGCGTGCTATAACATTAAAAACTCTTGCATTTTGCCCGCAGGGCGTATTTATATGTTCCGTATGATTATCACAATAAGCAACAATTATTTCCTTAACAGCATTAAGCGGTCAGTAGTTGTTGCACAAACACAAGTTACATTTGAGGTGGGAAGTGAGTTTTTATTAAGTATGATTTAGCTGATCTTAGGCAACAAATGATTGTCTGGTATGTGTCAGTATTTTTATGTCTATGTATATCAGTTAAAGGTCTCATTTCTGTCGATTCTTTTTTGGTCACCCCATGTCCATGCCTCACTGCAGTTATAAGCCTTAAATACAGTCCCAAAGCACACAAAATGGGATTCAGGAATTTACTGGTTTCTAGTGGACAAGATGTCACACATGGTGGGCAGTTACCCTCCCAAGATGGAGATTCAGTCATACACAACACCAGCAGAAGATGCTCCTGCAGGAATGATGGCACGTGGGAACTACACCGTGCAGTCATTGTTCACTGATGATGACAAACATGAACATCTCAAGTGGGAATGGAGCTTTGAGATCAAAAAGGACTGGAAGGACTGAGCATGTGGTGTCGGCCATTTACTCGCATGCAAGTCGACGTACACAGATGGGATCAGACGGTATCGATTCATTTATGTGTAACTGATAATTTCTTCTTCTCCTTTTGTAGAATTTACACATGATTGCACAGTCTGTAGTTTCAATTTGTATTCTAATTACAGATCATTTACTTTGTAAAATTTGTGAATAATTTCATTAGATTGTCACAGGAGGATCCATTAGTTTGGGGAGGAGTTTATGTGTTAGGGTCAGATCTGTGTTCCCAAGCCGAGTAGGCAGATTATAAGTCAAAGATTTGGTGTTTCATCCCTTCACTATTTAAGGTTGATGTGAAAGAAGAAACTTTGAAAGATTCATGTTATGTCTTTCTTGTTTCCATATTTTGTCTGTTGTGTCCTGTGAAATTCTGGTGCCAGTAACTTGCCAGGCTGACACACGTAAGTGCAAAGCCTTGCATATGAGTAAATGTAACACAACATTTTTACATAATTTAATTTCTAAATCTTGGCTATGTCACTATGTTCCAAGATGAAAGAAAGAAAAGAAAGGCGAAAATCTTAAGTTACATCATTCAGGAATTGAAAAAAATTAGCTGTAGCTTAGGATAGATACCCAAGTGCAATTTGATTATTCATGTAAGAATTCCAAAGAACAGAGATCCAAGTTTCAATCAGGAACTGTCAGGTCATGCAGGGATGCTCTGGCTGTGTTGCGCATCGGAATTGTTCTGAGAGACTGTGCTACAGAACTCTTATTTTAAGTAGTCTTAAAACGATATTGATAGGCATTTAATCTGTGGTCATCTGAGCTGGACTAGTCAAAAGTGGATGCATATTTACTTGAGGTAATTTTCATGTTGGTAATATTGTGTAGCTTGGTGTTCAGTGCTCTGAAGTAACATACACTTATGCTGTAAATCATCATTTATTGTAATCGTGTGAGCTGTCTCACACGCTTCAGAAATTTTTGGTTTCATTTGTTTTTAATCACTTGAAAGATGTCACTGTTACTATTTCCACGTTATGTGGAAATAGTAAGAGTAACACCTAGTAACATTTCCACGTTATGTGGAAATGTGCAGAATTCCACAGTCACTCAAATTCAAATTTGGAATGCCAGGAGTATATCTCTGGCAAGCACAGGGGCATAAATATCTGTACATGTTATAAAATATGTTGTATTTTCTTTGGCATGAATAGTTGTCCTGATAATAGTACGCAGTGCATTTATGGTATTCTGTAGAATAATTATGTCTGGGACTCTTCTACATACAGATATGTAAAGACAAAAGATTTAATGTTAACAGAAGCATATATTTCAGATTATAGTACCCACATTTTCAAAACTATCTTATGAATGCTGCATTCTGTATTTGTCTTCCATGTTCATTAATTGAACACAAATATATGGTTGCAAAGCCAGTGAACATTTCAGGTCTAATATAGATTTAAATTATTTTACCTGTAGTTTGTTAAAGGTACATAGTAATAGTCTTTGTCTTTTCACAGCTTTTTATCATCATACCACTCTCATACAGCGTGATGCATGAAATGGTCCAGAATTTGATCTCTTAATGAAATCTTTATTTCCATTACAATACTATAAACTAACACACAAAAGGAAAGACCATTTTAAGGCGATTTATCCTCTGCTTATCAAGTGTTCAGTATGACCACCATTACGTCTAGCAACTTCTTCAACATGAGCTGTGATGTTGTTTATTACTGAGTGGCACATATCCTCAATTATCTCATTGCAAGCCTCAGTGCTTAGTGGTCTCAGTTCCATTATTGTTTGTGGCTTTTTCAGAAAAATCTATACCTTAAGGAATTCCCCAAAAAAGTGGTCACATGGATTTAAATGAGGACCATTTGGGGGCCAGTTTTGTGTGCATGCCAAACGATCAGGAAATTGGTTTGAGATGAGACATGAATTGAAAGTGCTAAGCAGAAAGTCCAAAACAACATTTGTTGTGTGCAGTCTGGTTCCACCCTGCATGTACCACTGAGTTTGTAATGGCAAACCTGTAGCAAGAAGGTGAGGCACAAAAGTATTGCGCATCGTGCTTAAATAGCGCTGTTCTCTATATCTTGAAAGCAGATTGGTCCTAGCAGTCCATGATTTCAGATGGCGACCCACACTGTAATTCTTAGTGCATGATGCATGAATCACACGTGGATTCACTGGCGCCCAAAATCGCACATTTTGTGTATTAACCTCACCATCAGAGTGGATGTGTGCCTTGTCAGAAAACCGAACATTGTTCAACAATACCTCATTATTATTAGCCCCTTCAGCAAATGGCACTCTTTGATGTTTGTTTTGAACTGTAAGTTTAGGCAACACACACAGGATAAATCTCCATGCTTTGGTCTTTATTTTTGTATGTTAGTTTCCAGCATTGTAATTGAAATAACGATTTTAATAATAGATCAAACACTGAATCATTTCATGCACCACTCTGTATGTCACTTCTGCCTGTCTGATTCATCTAGCTTCTTGAATTCATTTAGCGATTATAAAATGTTCATAAGAGCTGGATGATTAGCCTTAGGCAGAGACTCTGTTTGGTCCCTGATCCATGGTCTGTTTGGCTTGGTGACCCTGCCACTGTAGCTCTCAGGGTTATTCAGACACAAGCCTCCACTAGATGGTGTGTCATATAAAGAAATGTTTGAATGATAAGGTCAGCTGTGCATATTGGCAGAGAGAGTATTTATGTTTTGTGAGTTGGGCAAAGAATGCCTAAGATGAAAAACAGAAGTGATTCCAGGCAAAATGTTGCATTTTCACATGTGCATAGTGCACATTGCTGTGTGTTTAGCAAGAGGTAGGCTGCTTTCTTGCAGTAAATTGCTCAGAAGTTCCTAATCTTATCCCAGTACTTAATCTTTTGTTCTAGACATTGCATTTTAACTTTATGCTGTAAGGAAACAACCCAGATACATTGCATTGAACAGACAAGTTTCAAATTGAAGCTTACAGTATTACCAATATAGACAACAAAAGTCTCACTCTCTCAAATAATCTGGGAAGCTGTTGGTAGTACTTTTTATTAACATGCATTTTCTATTAAATAGTGCACAAAGTTTGCTGTACCATTCCAAAGTCTTGAGTATGACACTTTTAAGAATTTTGTCAGTAAACTGGTATCAGTCCATGTTGTCATAACCTTTGGCTGTTCAGTGGCATTTCTGTCAGCAGTCTCTTAATTTCCCTCAAAACCATGGTGCTTGTGATTTGACAGTACTGTATATTATTAGTTGTCATATTAAATCAATATAACAGAGTAGTGTCACACCTGGTGATAAAAAGAATCAATTGGAGCTTCACTATTTTGCATGACCCTTTCTTATACATATGTATGTGTTACTCTAGACTAGGATACCTAATTTGTATTGGATTTACTGATGTTGATTAATACCCCCTGCCTTTTGGAACTGTATTTTTACTTTTAATTCAACAGAGATATAAGTATGATTAATTTAGGTTTGTATACAGGGCTGTACCAAAAAAGATGTTTCAGAATAAAGTGCATATATTTTCTGATATGCTTAATGTAGAAGAATTATTTTGATGTTAGCACAGAAGACATGGGAAATTAAACTGCCAATGGAAAACATATGCAGTGTTTGAACCAGCATCGTGCAAAACCATTGCAGTGGATACAGCGAACTGACAGCTGCTGTGTTTAGAGAGAGATTGCAGTGTTTCTAATGATGATGACGTTCTTTCTGAGCTGGGGTTGTTTCTGTCCACGTTGTCTTCCAAAACCACCATAAAAAGTAATGACAGGGATTGGGTTGGGAGAATATGGTGGCTAAGAACATCTGTAGCCAAAATATCAGGAAACGATTCGAGGTAACATGATTGCCAAACTGCTCATGCAAGGCATCCAAAGTTGCATCTGCTATGTGGTTAAGCCCAGTCTTGTTGGAAGAACATTTCTTTGTTGTGTATGAACTGTGCTTCTAGTACAATAAAGTGCTTTCTTCGTCAACACACACTTCTGTAGTCCGTTCACCATCATGTTGAACATCGATTCAGAAAGCTGTCATCTTCCAAGCTTGTGGTGCAGATTATCAGCAGAATTATTTATCTTCATTAGATATTTCAGTTAATAAAGTAAAAACTGTTTTTGCGCTTTTTTCTCAGCTTGAAATTTGATGTAAATTGCAGGAAATGTAAAATCATTATCTTAGTGGTTATCTTCACCTCCATTTCTCATTGTTGTCCTTGGAAAATAATGTAGGTAATTACTGAGGCATGTGTCATCATCTTCACAATGTACAATTCTTGTAAACTAAACATATACCATATCATGATGCAAGATAAAATTATGTGTGAAACACCATGGAATGCTTTGCACACAGTCTCTTCCAGTTCTTCAGACTTGGATTTCTTCACATATTTTTGGTTGCCCCAACACTTGCCATAGTTTTCTTCAATGACTTGACAATTTTTGACAGTTTTATTCACAGCTGATTCTGAAAATCCAAGTTGTTTCACAAAGGAAATACAAACCACATGTCAGCCCTGTAGCATATTGATTTTTTCTTCTAGAGAATGCCCCCCCCCCTTGCTGTCATCACGCCTTACCAACACAAATTCAAATAAAACAGCAAACTCAGCTGACACAAAACAAAAACAGTAAGCAATGTGAAGTTACAGTGATGCTTGCAAGATGGCAGTAAAGCTTATTAGAGCAGCCAGTGGTTAAAAAGAAAAGTCGACAAGTCACAAAAAGAAATTATGTAAAAGCCAGGAAATTGAAATCAAATGATATGCATTTTGCAGGAACTAAAGCCATTGGATGGACAATTTATGGGACCAAACAAAAATTATGTAAATTATGGGGAAAACATACATTGTGGCAGCATAAATGCAACGTTTCACTGTATGTGCAGTTTAAACAGAAGCATCTTTTTAGATTTACATTGACCATGTATAAGTGTAAGTGAGAAATCAGTTTTCTATTAATAATATACTGGAGGCTTTTTACATTACTTAAACTAAGGAATGAATGCCATATATATATATATAAATATAGTGTAACTAACTTATTGTGAAAAGAGTACTAATAATGCTGGCAAAGATTGGAAATTTTTGTGATGAATCTTTAAATTCAATGAAGAATTTTTGGTGCATATGTTTGATGACTTCTGTAACAGACAGTATGATGTGTTTTGTGACAGAGGATCATGGAGCTGCCTGTCATGTTAAGACATGGATACAGCTGAGTGTGAGAGAATGCAGTTTTGTGAGATTTTAGTACAATTAAAATGCCATTTATAAAGAGTTCATTGCCAACTTCATGTTTTCGATAAAGCCGTCTTCTAATACACTGCTTGTGCTGAAAGTTCTGTATGAAAATACCTGTCATTTAACTCTTTGACTGGCGCGAAGGGTATTTAAATCACACCCCTGTCCTGGCAGGCCATTTAAACCTTATGTCGCTAAAATCATGTAGTTACTTTTTCCTAAACAACTTCAACAAAAATTGGTTTTTAAAAACGAAATTTTCAGGAACTAATTAAAATACAATATATTATGCAATAAATGTCTTTCCATACCTCTTTATTAATTTTTCTTCGTGTGATAAACATTGAAACATGAAAGTTTGCAGAGAGCCACACCACAGCCTGCACACATGATACTTGTTTCTTTTCTAACCTTGTGCTTAGCACTCGCGCGACACTTTCTCAGGGCACCATTCTTCTTATTGTTACTGGGAGGAACATGGACCATTTTGTGAATTTTCAAGCCACCCTCTAGATGATTTACTGGCTCTTTCACTGGTGGCCTTTTCAAGGTCGAGGGCGGAGGCGTGACTTCACTCTAGTCTGATGCAATAAATTCGTCATCCACTTCATTCCTTGACTTTTCTCCCTCTCCATACTGTTTGTTTGGTTCAGTCATTTTTCTACACAGTCCAATATAAAATCTTTGAATCTGTAATTTCTCTTCTTGTATTTTTCGTTTGTTGTGTTCTTTTTGAATAGAATGAAACTATTCAACCGCAAAGACATGTTTTGTCCATACCATGGGTGTGAAATAGGGGCCTAGTGGACAAATATTCTTCAATTTCAGGGCGTTTGTCGATTCCTGTCATGAACACAATTCCTAAGTATGTCCAGATTTCATCTGATGTGACATAATTGTAATTGTGTTTTCGAGAGTGAGGAGCTAACTCATGTGTGTTGAAGTGCTGGTGAGCATAGCGATTGGTTTCAGTTGTGATGTGATTTACCAAGTCGTCATCCAGAAAAAAAAATTAATCCATGAAAAGGGATGCATTTTATGTGTTATATCAATTTTGATCCCGAAACTATTAGCAAATGAAAATATTGGGGGTACAAAGTCTCCGTACGTTCATGAGATGGGCGTGTCAGGCACCGCACTCGTGGTAGGTAAATGTTCATGATTACTGTCTTGTGGATCATTGTCTATCACTGTATTATTGTCACTATCAACTTCATCCAATTCAGGAATCATTATTTCATCGCCACTATCATCATCAGAACAAATCTCGTTCACCACATTTTCCAGCTGGTCTGTAGGAACACGAAGATACTTGCTGCAAGAAGCCATGGTGAAACTGAATGAATTTGAAATATTTTCTGACCTTTTCCTTCTCAGAGGGTTCTGACAGTAATATAGACCCCCACAAAGTTTACAAGGGTTCTTTACAAACATGCACAAAAACTATCATATATATGTCTTTGGTTGATGAGTGCCAAGAGAGCAAAGAAGGGTAGAGATTGTCAAAGCGTTAAAACACGCCAACGCCAGGGAACGGCTGGCATCGTCCGGGCGTTAAAACACGCCCGCGCCAGTCAAAGAGTTAAGATGACTGCATAATATCTCCCTGATTACTTCCTGGCACATCTTCACTGGATGGCATGGTCAAGGGTATAACACTCTGCTTCTTATTCAGGACGTCTTGGTTTCAAATCTTGGCCTGGAAACTGGCTACCCTGACAGGGTTTTCTCAGGCCTCCCATACAAATGCTGGACTAACTAGCTTCATGGAGAAGAGCCCTTCTTGAGAAGCCACCAGTTGTGCAGCTGCTCAAGAACTTCCCGACATTTCACGGAACCTGAAGGTTCATTACCATACAACCTCTTTATTACAACTGTCACAACACGACTAATATCAAGATCAGTGCCTAGTTTTGGCTCTGCTATATCTTTCGGCTATTAATAGCCATCATCAGGCAAATACATGGTTAACATATACAGGGTGTCCCAGGAGGAATGGACCAAACTTCGGGAGGGTGTTCCTTATGTTAAAGTATGCCGATATAACCCAAAACACCTATGTCCAAAGTTGAACGGTTACGGAGATAATGGCCCGAGAAAAGTGGG